ATCCCCCCCCCCCCCATTATGGAAAGGAGGAAGAAGGAAAAAAAAAACCAAAAAAGCAGATATAGCTTTCAGGTCTGATTTCAAACAAGAAAAAGCTAAATGCCTGAAAATTCAAAATCATTCCTTAATATTTCCAGTACAGCAAAGCACATATCAAAAAAGTTAATTATCTTAATACAATAAGAAATAATGAAACTGAAGAGAAAACTTTAGAAGCATAAATCACTCTTTTGCCTGATTTTTTCCATAAAAGTAAATCAAACATCACACACACACACCAAAGCCTCATTATATTTAAGCAAACCAATTATTTATAAGATCAAGGAGGAGATAATCAGTGACAGTCAGCTTGTTAACACCAAATCTTGTCAAGAATCACGGTCAAAAACAGTTAACAAAAAGTGGAAAAAAAAAACCAATAGCAACATTTACGATAATATGCAAATGACTTTACATGCATCTCTTGAAATAAATTCAAATTAAAAGCTAAAGGAACACAACAATTTATACACTTTATTATGCTATTCTGTAATGTATCATGCAGCTGCATAAAAAAAATAAAGGTTTAAATCAGTTGTCTGTTATCTAATTGGTTTAACGTTAGATCTTCCATTCTCATCTTTCTTGGAAAAATAATATACTGTTTGTAGCCATTTGTCACTTCAAATCTAAAGACCAAAAGACAGCCCATCTACAGCAGCTTTATGACTGGCTTGTGCTTAAACATTACAGAAGACAAGCTTTTTAATCTTTTCCTCAAAGCATTTTAATACTACTTCTGATAATGTACCCAGACTGTCTGCGACTGGCAGGACAGTGGGAATCAGTTGTTTATTTTAAGAGTCTATACCAGTCTCCAAGGTTATAATGGGGGGGGTTGTAATCCAAAACTCTCTACACCTATATTCTTACCCTTTTTTTGCCAAAAATGTACCACAGTGTTTGCATCAAAGTTTAAATATACATTTATTACACTTTCTCATTACCTGCTCTTACTAAACAACCTTCCCCCTCTCTTTGAATTCTTGATGAGCCTCAACTGAATTACGGCTCCTGAAAGATTACACATCCTATATGAATTATTAACACAAAGCTCAGTGGAGCTTATAAATTTAGTTTAGAATATAGGCTCATACCCCACCTGTGGGCAACTTACATATGAGACAGTTCATGATCATACAGAACAATGAGGGATTTTTCATTCCATACTTTCTTCCACAGATCTACAGAGATCAATGATTTCAACAAGCCTTCCCAAGTACAGCCTTTGTTCATATGAAAAAGCAGATAAAGGTGAAATCAAGAAGTCAGAATCATTAAGTACTGGTATCAGCACAGCTAACCTTCCTAAAATACCCTAGCTATGACAATAGCACAAATATGGACTCATTCTCTTTAAATATCCAGGTCCAAGGTGTTCTCAGATTCAAAAGAGAAAGCATTTTATGCTGCAGTTAATAGTTGATTTTGCTTTAGTACAAAAAGTGAAAAGAAAAAAAAAAAAAAAAAAATGGAACTGCTTTAAAGCAGTTCCATGATTAAGTCATAAAATTTATCCTGTCAAATGAAGGCCCAGAGCATGCCCTTGTTCCCTTATCAAAAGTATATATAGTGGCAGCAGCAGCAACTTATCACTTGAGTTTTAGTTTCAGCTGACTGGTGGGATGCACAATATCCATTTGTGGTACAAGCAACTTATGTTATCCAGCAGTGAAGATAGCTTCTTCCAAGTTAACATGTGCTGTGGGCTCTGTACTTTTGTCATTAGGAAGGGTAGGTCTGGCATATTTGACATCCATATTCAGATATAGACCCCAACAACAACTCTGCCCAGGCCTGCTGACAAAGATTTGGACAGAACAACATAGTCACTGCACTGGCTCTATTATAACAGATCCACTGGAAATAAAGGCTTTTTTTTCTTTTGCCTACAAATGTTGAAGTTCACTGCTAGTGTTTTCCTTTGCTCCCTTTAAGCACATTGTTGTTTACTGACATTTTTGTCTGGCCATCAAATAGTTATCTGTATTCCAGCTGTTAATGCTTCTCTGACCTCAACAAGTCATCTTAGACAAGTTGTTACATCAAAATAAGAAACAAAGGTTAGAAATAGGCAGGTTTAAGCAAAAAGACGACATCTATACAAACCTAGTACTAACTTTGTAGCCCAATCTCCACAAGGCCAACTTCAGGTTACGGCAATAACTAAAACCAATGAACTATCACAAAAGGAAGTATTTCCTTCTGTACACGATTTTTATTATTTACATAACACAATATAGCATAGATGCAGGGTAGCATGATTATGTGCAATACATAAATATGATCTGTACATGTTTGCATATCTAATAACTCAATTGAAAGAACAAAGTTAAAGCAAAAATCTGATGCTTTTAGTAGTGAAGTAAAAACTAAGACTGAACACTGCAATTAAAGTCAGAAGTAGCGCCTTGTGTACATACGTAACTATTTACAGATGAGAACAGGCATTACCACAACACTAGTCTAAAGTGTACTTGTTTATATAAAAATCAACAAGTTTCATACATCACAAAAAACCTTCCATTATAACACAGAAGTGATATTACCAGACAAGCATCAGTGAAGTATACTGACTTTTCTAGAGTTATTGTACAATGCTGTAGATAATGCAGCCCATGCAATACACCCAAGAACACTACAGTCCTACACCCAAGTACAACTAAAAATGATAAAGTAGCCCTCCAAGAGTGGTTCCAGCTACCATTTAAGTCTACAGCAGCCATGTTGGGTATGGTTTTCCATGCAGAACAGCGCAATTGTTAAATTTAAAACTACAAAAAAATAAAAAAGCTCCCAATATTCTTTTGAACCCAGAACACATTGAACATTAGTAGTATATGAATAAACTGCTCAAATATCAGGTGCATGTGTCGCTTAAGCTGCTGTGGTATGTATAAAAACATACGTAGCTTTTGTTTTGTAAGCCAATCTTACAATGTTGTGCTACACAACATTTTTAGCTATGCGAGGAAAAGCAGACAACTGTTGCAGGCCAGTTCACAAGTTTCTTACAGGACATTTTCCTTTGGGAACCCATTTTCATGATTCTAAAGGTAATATAATTGGTTCCAAAATAGTCCTCCTCTCATACACATTGACTTTTTCACTTTTCCCACTGCAACTGTTAAGCAACTGTTTCTTAAACGTGGCACCAACACTCATCCTACTGGATGACAGACTTCTATATAGCTTACGTTCTGCTGGAAAACAATGGAGTGTGGAAACTAAAATTAGAATGAGATTTTAAATGATAGAAGTAGACTGCAAACCTTTCCGATGTATCCTTCTCCCAAACAGGCACATAACACTAGCCAAAGACTATACACTTCAAACACCTCAAAAGGCAGATCTGCTGCAAACGTGCAGCTAGTACACATCTGTTTGGCACATGTGAACTAGAGTTTGTCCTCTGTGCACGTGTATTCCTGTGCAGGTTCTGATCATCCAATTATATTCTGGGGAGGGCATATACATTTTCAAGGGCTGTATCTATCTAATTCTGCCTGTAACAAACACCCAAATATTCTGAAATATCATTAAGACAGACAAGACTAAAAGTAAAACTATGGAGAACATCAAAGGAAAATGGCCATGCATCTGCTCTTTAATGTTTTCCTAGGATATATTAAAATAAAACAAAGTCAGTCAGTCTTTTCATAAGTAGGTTAGTTTATATTCTCTGGATTTTTTCAGCCACCACAACTGGGTTCTCTTTCCTGATTTTTGCTGCAGCTTCTGCTTTGTAATCATATGGGCAGTTATGCTTGTCAGAATAACGGTGAAGTCCACAAAACAAGTTTCCACATCGGCAGTCAAATCCTGTCCAAAGGAGAGGAAGCAACATCACTAGGAAGCTTCAGATATAAGCAAGCTGTACATTAAGTGCTTAATCAATAGGGACAAAGGGGGTTATGTGCACCTATTCTGACAAACAGAATAAAAAGTGAACGTTTCCAAAATATCAGCTGTATTAAGTGGTCTAACATTGTGGATTTTGAAGCAGCAAATAAGTTCAATGGCTACAAATATTTCAAACTTAACCTATAAGAGGCAACTAATCATACAGATCTGTTCAATATTGACAAAGTGCTCTCATACCTGTAAGGCCAACCTTCTTTCTGCACATGAAACATCTGTTCTTCTTTGGTTTGGGCAGTTCAGGAGCTCTCTCTTCATTCTGTGAAGTGCTAGGCTGAGAAACTGATGGGCTTGGTTGAGTAACAACTGTTAAAGCAAGCAAAGAAAATAGAAGTTGAAGTTCTTGATTTCACTAACTATTCAGTACCAAGTGTGTATTTATTAATACTGAAGTTTGTCTAGAGTACTATGCAGAACAGTCTATGAAAACGTAAACAATCTCTATTTCTGGTTAGGTACTGCACTAACTTCCCTTTTGGCTCTACACAAGACGATCAAATTTTCCCCACTGTTTCATCAGCAAGAAAATGTAAGATACCCATCAGTCACACCTATACAGTGTTAAGTGCTTACAGAGCACTCCAGAAGTTCCATGTTCATACTTAATATTAAATCATATAATCAAGTTAAAATTAATCCAAAAGAGCAACAATATTGTCATGGTTGAAGCTGTTGAACAGAGGGGATACCTGTAGAAAAAGTAATCAATAGGAGCATATTTTAGAAACAACTTCCAGTAACGTGTTACTATTATAGTACTGGGTTACTCTGCTGCTATACTTGCAGAGTCAGATTATTTAAAACCTCAGTCAACCAAAACAGCAGGTAACTTTCTCGAGCTTCAAACCTACTGATTCTGTGCTACCCCCAGAACACAGCTACAAATCACACAAAATTCAGAAGATCTTTGTTTGAGGTGTTTTCCAGTATTTTAAAGAACAAAGTACAGACTTATACTGAATATATGTATTCTTGTACTGTGTTCAGCCTTAATTTTCAAGCAAGCATAGGAAAAAATGACTCATTTTTCAATTGCTTTTGTCATGAACACCTTCAGTCAAATTTAAGTCACATTTGAGTCTCTGTAGAATAAAAAATTTGAATTTTTGTGAATATGTTCATTTTGTTTGAAATATTTTTCCATCAAATGAGTTGGTTTTTTTTTTTTTTTAAATCCTCTTAAAACACAAATTGGCATAGAAAGCTGAGGGAGGTATGTTTGTATACAAACAGATACAAAACACAGAGCCTGCTTCTCTAGTTTTTCTGGACATGTTTATGTCTTATGTTTATGTTGCATGATCTATTGCTCTAATAGATAAGGAACAAACTATAAAATGCATTCCAGAATAAATCATTGAGGACATAAGCTCAAAGGACTCAATTATAATCAACTTTATGCACACAAGCAGCATTTCTTAGTTCAGATCCTTTTGGATCAGTAAATGTTAAATCCTACCGTCATAGCAGGACCCTTAATAGATTGAAAGTTATGTTTTAAATCTGCTAGAAAGGTTTTATTTGTGGTTTGTGTGTCCTGTCAATCATGCTGTCCTTTGTGTGACCCTTAGTTAGTTAACCCTTGTGTCCCACCCTTATGTTGTCAAATCATTGGTGGGGAGTGACTGTCAATCAAGGGGAACATTCTGGAAGGGGAGCGGGCCTAGGCGCTGGTCGGCAGGTGGGTCCACATGCTGGTGACGGATCCGGAATGCACCAATAGGAACACGGATCCAGATGGAGTGTGACCAATGGCAGTGTTTGGATGCCTGTGGGCACAACGCGGTCCATCTATAAAGAGCCACGCGCCCTTATATCGGGGGGGGTTTTTCCTCATTAGTGACCTGAAGAAGAAGAGAGCTGGAATCATGAAGACGACTGTCGGAGGGGGGAAGAAACCCTGGCGGTCTTTTTCAAGACCTGAAGCAGCCAAGGGCATATTCCCCGATTGAAGACAGCTCTGCTGGAGGCTGCAGGACAGCCAGCAGAGGAGGTGCACCCCCAACACCAGGCTTCAGCAACGCGCTACGCTTTCCTTCCCCCCCCCCCCCCCCCCCCCGGCCCCGCACCCCCCCTTCCCCCCCCCCCCCCATTTGGGGTGTGGCCTGCTAAGAGCTTCTCACTGTGCAGTGGCCCCCTCTGCGGAGGGTGGCCTGCTTAGAGTACAGGTCCCTGGACCTGGAAGCAGCGCTCCTCACTCCGGGTGCAGCCTGCTTAACCCTCCCCTTCCCCCCCCCACCTTACCACTTTTGTGTGTATTCGTTGACTGTCTTCTGAACTCAAACCTCTGTATGTGTATGTATAATCATTTCTGTTTACTTCTATACTGAAGGTTCAGGGATACCATTGTAAATAAGTTAATACCTTGTGGTTATTGTACATTGTTATCAATATCATTATAGTTATTGTTACTGTTCATCAATTCATTAAACTCTGTTACTTACTTGTTAACCACTACAATTGTGAACTCATTCATAAGGAGTAGGGACACCCATACAACCACCCAAACCTGTTTAGTGTACAGAGCCTGCTGAATTACCTTACCAGGGTGAAATGCCTACCAACTGGTTTGGTTGTTCTGCAGAGGCCTCCCGGCACACCTACAAAAGGTGGATTTTTCCAGACATGAAGAACCACCAGTTTTGTTGACTGTTTTTCCATCTTTACTATTTATACCTGATTTTAAAAATTCCATTTGTATTGTCATCATAAAACAATCATTCTGTTTGTATTGTATATCATAAAACACTCACTTAATACTAACATGCAGAAAACCTCAAATAATACAAGCCCAATTTCATAATTCACTGTACAAGTCAACAATCCAGTCAGTTCATAATCTAAATTATAAGCTAGATTTAAGAGTAACAAACTTTCACAGGTAACAAGGAACTTTCAGTGCTTGTGCCCAGAAAGTTTTATACAGTAAAACAAGGGTTGCTGATATTTTCTTATACTTTAGGACTGTTACTGTTGTAGTAAAGAACAACTAAAACTCATTCACTACTTTTATCTTTGGCATATTTAAATTTTTTTTGTTTGTTTGTTTTAGAAAACAGATATAAGTTCAGAGTCAATGCTATTATGTTAAATCTGAAGATAACAAAATTATACCGTCTTGGATACAAAATACTTTAAGTGCAAAAAAACCACAAAACACACAAGCACTTCATTACAGCACTTGAATCACTATTGCTATTAATACTTTTCAAGAGTAGTTTCAGCTGCTGCTTCCCTTCCCCCCCCCCAAAAACAAACCAATTTTGTCTTCACAATTAGTGTTATTGATCTGCAGATAGGATCCTCTGAATTTATCTTTACTTTCCTTGGTCTTTAGTGTTCGGTATTTGCTCAATCTAGTCAAGAGCCTGTGACCAAACATCAGCTTATAAAGAACTAATACTGCAAACAGCATAAACCTGCTGGGTCACTACACACCTTGGCTGACAGGCATTAGCTTTGGCATTTAAAAATTCCCCCCTCCCCCCCCAAAACACCACCCAAAATCTCCAAAGCCAAAAAGCATGGTCAAGTTCCTTTTAGATTTGTTATAAATACTAGTTCATTTAAAAATAAAATACTAATCATAAGCCATGGCAGATGAAAAAGAAGAACCAGAAGTACTTGCACACTTTGCAATTCAGTATATAGCTAGCCAGAGGGAAACTTCATCTGCATTAGAACCAACTCATGAGCCCTGGGAGCACACACATTGTTTCAATCAGATGGAAAAGGGGAAAGAAGGGGGAAAAGCAACAGCAGACTAAATAATTCAGTCACTCATAACATAGCACTAAAAGAAAATGAAAACAAGAAAAGGAGTAACCTTACAGTTTATCACTGCTGAACATGCTCACAAGAAAACAAAAAAGTGGAAATGGCAGTTTCCCAGGATTCACCAAGACAAAAAGATAGTCTAGTAGGTCATTCTGTACCACAAAAAAGCATTAAGAAAAAAATCCATCTAAAGGAAAATGTTATCTAAGGGAAAACATTACTGACTACTACAAATATACTTCTTCCTCTATATAAACTGTGACAAGTAGTGTTCACTGCCACAACCAGCAACACAGGAACAGGAAAGCGATAAGAATAATCCTGAGAAGTGAAAAGGGCCATTTCATATAAAAGCTGTTGAACGAGATCCTTCCCCTCACAACTAAAACATGTTTAAATAAGGAAAAGCAGCATACAACATACAGAAGCAGACAGCTAGAAGGTCCCAAGACAAGGATATGTTGGCAGAGCCCCCCAAAAATGAAGTGTTCAACTTATTACTCTACAATGGTAACACCTGCAGAAAGAAGGGATTCTCCCACTTTTCTGCTAGAGTTAAACCTAATGATGAGTTTTTTATTACCTTAAACCTTCATAAAGTCCCTTCTGATTAACAGCTAGAACAGGTACAAAGCTGCCTAAGGTGCCCTTACTAAAGCTTACAAAAGAAATTTTTTTTTTTCTTCAAACTGTGGCTCTAATGAAATATATTTAAAATGCTGCTGTTCTGGCACGATGTCCAAAGCCAATATAAATTCAGATACTATCCTGACAACTGCTTGTCACAAAAGGATTCCTTTAGCATAGAAGTCAAATCCAACTGGGCAATCAGAATGCCAGTCCACAATATACTGAATTCATTTTACACCAGAAATCACATGGTGTTGATGAAATCAAAGTGCTCTAAATGATGCCATGTGATCACCATGGAATAAATCACTGGACAAAAGCTGAAACAATGGTAGGAAAAATGGTTGTTATTGTTGTCTCCAGATCTGCTTCCTCAGTACCAATACCCCTGTTCAGATGAAGCAAACCCCTTACCACTAAAAGGAATATTCTGTCATCTTAGAGTTCCTGTTGGCACGTACCCCTCTCCATCACCTTGGTCATTTACCTTCCCAACCATTGGCTCAAAAAGCTACCAAATTAGGTTTAGTTCACTTGAATTTTACCAAACCAGTTCTCCTGCTACAAGGCTGAAAAACTTAACAGCAATGGAGATTTTCAGAACTGAACAAATCTTATTAACAATTTAAGACAAAAGTAATAGTTATCTGCAGGCATTGGCAGATGCAGTATCATCAGGAGTAACAAAACAGGGGAGATCATAACTGCTAGAATAATAAAAACTAACACAATCCTAGTACTAGACAGGTGCCCAAAAAAGCCACAAATACAGGTGTTGCATGATAAATTTGGGGATTTACTTCTTCATGTATAGTCTGAAGATGAGATTCTTCATGTATAGTCTGAAGATGAGATGAGTTTTTAAGAAAGGCATGTAGGAACAGCAAGGTCACTGATGATTGAAGTATGCCACAAACCACAGCATGACAGCTACTCAACCTATACACAGAACAGTCCTACAAACAGGAAGAACAATGTTCCTCTTTTACCTCAAAGTATTAAGCCACAGTGACTACATGGGATTTTTCTCAAAAGAACCACCATTGTAGTAACCAGATTTTCAAAACTGATCATGGTTTTCTTTATATAAATGAATACAGCTGCTGCAAAAGAGCATGCCTACTGTAGATATTCTCTGACAGAGATTTATACTAGAAAGGAATGATTCGGCCATTTTTTTCAGTTGGACAAAACCTGATGAAAATAAAACAAGATTTTTTAGGAGCTTCTTCTGTGACCAAAGTGGTATCTAAAATAAAAACCCATCAGTTTAACAAATCACATACTTCCATGGTACTAGTAAGCATGCCAGTGGAGTGAAAGTCATGACAGTAAGAACGCTTGAAACTTTTTATGCTATTTTTTTACATGACACTAACACCTTCTCCATTCCCACCACAGAAGAACTGGGAAAAATCAGAACAGTAGAGGAAAGAAGGTAACCCAAAAAGGGAACCCAAAAGACATGAGAAAGACATTAGATCACACTTCTGCAGTGCCAGAGGAGAAAGTTATACTACAGGTCATGCAGTCCTTATTGCACATCCTATAATCCTATATTGCACATTAAGACAAATTGACTTGTATATAAAATTTGAGTCACTGAAAAGTGGATGGACAGTATTTATTATGCAAGTCAAGCTTCTTGAAGATAAATATTGTACTCTTCAGAAACTACAATTGCTATGCTGATCTAGGTGCCCAGGAAAGGCTAAAGAATAAATTGCGTCATTTTTAATTTCATGCCAAAGAAAGGGGATAAAGCTATTTTGCAATGCATAACTAATCTCCCACATGCTCAACTCTTAATAGGCATATTGGATACCTTTACTATTACATCAATACAATGTAAAAGATACCCCTGTTTAAATATCACACTGAAACATAGTTTAATTTGGTCACCATAATGACTTTTTAACAGAAGTATACAACAGATAAAGATATAATAGCATCCTATCAGGAACAAGCACAGCACCAGTAGTTGCTCCCTCAGTCTCACTTTCCAAGGTGGACAACTTGAAGGCTTAGAAAAGATTACTGGTTCCACTCCAGAATTGTTTGAATCAGGGATTTCTACTCAAGCTTCAGTGGACATGGGAAACTTGAGAACTATTTTGAACACAAGACAACAAGATTCTTACATCAGACAGTATTAAAGACAGCCACAAAGGAACTGTCTATAGGTAGTAACATGATTAAATACTACAGCCATGTTTAAAGACAAATCAGAAATAACAAGGCAGTTATTAAAACAGCAAGAACCAAGTAATACCATCTATTTACCATCTTGAGTCTACAATATCTAAAGTTGGCTGTCTATTCAGCATCTTACTCAGAAGATTATCTGCAACACACTGTACACATCATAGCTACTGTTTTTTTTTGTTTTTTTTTTTTTTTTTAAATCTACAACATGAATGAGGGCAACCCATAACAAGGTCTCAACCTGCATGCAGGACAGCTGTGTTGTTTAACATTAAGATAACTAATCACATTGGCTTGGTACAGAGCCAAAAGACAAGCGAGCTAACCATCATCTCCTGTCTTGCAAAGCTCATTTAACATCAGCTTTCAGGAACAGAAAGGGTAACCTACGAAATGGATGGAATAGGACTGTAAGTTAACAATATTTGGAGAGGATATTTGAATATGTATTTTACAAATGGAGACCATAATCATTTCAAGTTCTGGTTCACTTTCTTTACAGGTGGCACTATTCCACAACTGTGGCTTCATAGAGTGACATAACTCATCACACTACTCCCTAAAACAGTGCTATTACTGGGTTAAACAAACCAAGACACTGATATGCATGCTGATACTAATTAAGTCTGGAAACACTGACAGACCTGACAGGAGACTCATCCTTCAGAAAGGTAGTGACCTACCAAGAAGCAAAAAAATAAAATAAAATAGCTATGATTTAATACAATATGATTAAACATACTTTTCCTCAAAACAGTTTAGTGCTTAAAAGATCCATACAAGAAAGAACAGAGTTAAATATTATTTCCACTTACAAAGCCACTAAAACAAAACAGGTTTATTGAGGAAGGCCTCCAACTATGCCTCTCCAGCTTGGTATTGCTCCGATGTAATAATCAACATAGGAAAGGAAAGTTAACTAAGTTTTGCATTTAATTCCTATAACTCAGTGTGGAGGAAAAACAACCCCAAGAAAAAGAAACACACTAACTATGCACCATATTTCTAGAATAGGAAGATTTCAGAATTGGGTATATTCTGACTTTGGT